TCGATTCAAAAAAGCATTTGGGATTAATAATAATATAAACAAATAAAATTTTGTGTAAATGTCCAAACATATAGGTACACATCCGGTCACTGGGATGTTTGCCTTACTCTCTGTATAGAATTAAATTTCTGTAAATGATCATGTTGATCATATGTGTAGGAAAGCGAAAACAAACGTCGATTTTTAGACTTCAGCTGTTTTCTAACACAGCGATAAATACGTACACAGATAAAATAAATATTTTAGTATATTTCATTATACATACATAATATTATCGCTAATAAAAAGAAATGTAAAATTTCCTACCATCGTATCACGACGGAATTGTCAAAAATTCTTGTCAACGAGTGTTAATTTTTGCTGTAAACAACAGTAGATAAAAAGATAAAAAATGAACTGACGGAGAAATGGACAATTACGGTTGAATAAAATATTGCGACATTCGCGTAGAAAGACTTTTCAGCGAGCGCATAGAAAACGGCCTGACCGGCCTTGATATCGAATCCATATTGATGGAGATTCGCTGCAAGGGTGTGAGACAACGTGCCACGATTCGACCAGATTTGCATGCATTAACGCCACAAGCGAGACTGATTGACAATCCGTATGTCATTGTGACGTCAGTCAAATCGCCCGAGCGTCCTCCATCAATCGCAATCAATTAAGGTAACGATTGATTGTTACGCGTTTGGACTCAGAGAAGAGAATATCGTGAGCCGATATTTATGTGGAGCATAACGGAACATTGCGCAAGCTATATAGTGGAAGTGAAAAATGTTTTCGTACTTGGCATTTATACTTTATTTAAATCATTTTATATTACTTTTTTCTCTTTAAATATAACATTCCATGATTTCAGTAAGAGACATTTATTTAATTATAAAACTTGGTATATTTAAACATTAAAATGTTATTTCTAATTTCTTACGATATAAAATTTCGCATTTAAATAAGGTTAAGTTCAAAGCTTTCTTTTGTGCTTCTTTTTACAATCTACAAGTGGTTTATAAGTGAAATAATGACATAATATATTCGTAGATTTCATGTTAATATATCTTTATTTTTTTATCAAATTTAATTTATATGCATATATTGACATTTACATTTTACTTTCTCAAGGAATTTCTTTTAAGAAAATGTAATAAATTCGTTTAAAATAAGTTCGTATAAGAACATTAGTTTTTTAATCATTTTCAAATTTTTTGGTGACCATTAAACAATTAACGAAACGCTTCGACGCTTGAGCGATTAGAACGATCTAAAATCTGCTTGGTTCGAGCCTGGCCACGGGCGGATTAACTTTTATCGCGGCGCTGACCAGCCTCGTAGTATTTTTTTTCCGTGCAAAATTTCGCCGTTGCGTCCCCTCGGAAAGGCCGCGTGTAGGCACGAGGGAAGCGAAACGATCGTCGTCGCACGGGATCCGAAATGGAATCCATCAAATTGACGGAGGGAATGGCGAGAGAGCGAGAGAG